CCTGTTCCCCGGGCGAAGTCGGCGCGCCAACTTTTGTTTCCACCAACTTTTTGCAAATGTAAAAACCGGTTCTGCTCGTTCAGCACATCCACTGTGTTGATTAGTACGATTCTTCCTGTGGATTCAAACTCGGAACACTATTTCTCGTTTTTCTTTTTTCTTTTTTCTTTCTTTCTTTCTTTCTTTCTTTATATATATATATATATGTATATATGTATATATCCACCAAGTATCACACTGACGTACGGACGAACTATGTAAAAAACGTATCGCGGAACTTTGTTGCAACTGGACGTTCTTTCTGAAACGCGTTTCCCTCGATGAAGCACACTACGACACGCGGCGATGCAGCTTAAGAAAACGGCAATGTCATCGACGATTGAAATGACATATCTGTATCTCCTTAATCCCTGGTTCCCTGGACCTTGGCCCGGTCGCACTGTTTATCTTGAATGTATCAACAACGAAAGACGCGTCGCGTGATCGTCGCGTTCAGCGTCGTAGAAACGTGCAAAAGAAGATCGCGGTCTCGCTGAGGGACGAGAGGAGCCACGGCTTGTTACTCTATAAAGGTTTCTCTTCTCTGTTTCCTTCGCGTGGAACTTAATCAGGTGGCAGGTCCTCGCGATCCTGTGTGAACGAGGACGAAGACACGGCGAGTGGAAAAAGAGGAAACCTAACCCGTAATGTTGGAAGGTCGCTCGCCGACTGACTAGCACTTCCGCTGAGGCTGTTGTGCGATTCAGAGTGGGGGATGCTTCGTTGGGTTGTTGTGTGTAGGGGCTGGTGGCGGTGGGTAGACTCGTTGGTTGGTTGGTCGGGGTGGTTGTGTGTGCTCGGCTCGTGCTGTGCGCGGGAAACCAGGGGGTTTCGAGCCTGTACAAGCGGCACGGCCCGGCAAAATAGCGACCAGTTTCACGTGGCTCGCACTACCTTCGGTTTAACTACTTTCCTCTGGAGCTTTGCCGCATCGGTCGCCGAGAGTCTTTCTTCTTGGCGTCGATATCTCTCAACCGAACCACTATTCCGCTCTTTTATCCTCTGTTTGCAATGCATGTAGTTTGCTTTGTGTTTTCTACCTTGTATTTTCTTCGAATCGCACCGACGTTATTTTATATGGATGGACTACGTGCGTCGTTTTTCCACTCTGTGAACTGACTCGTGTGGTGGTGGTGTGACTGACCAATGGACTGACCAAGCCGAGCGTGCAACGACTGACAAGACGGTACACGGAAGAGTCTACGATGCGGTCGAAATGTAGAAAATCTCGGTTGTGGCTACAGCGCGAGATTCGCAAGATCTTCGTTGCTGGTTTCCCCCACTTGCTTCACTTTAATCACTCGAATCGAGGATAATTCTTCGTTTCTCACTAAACCTTCGCGTTGCCCCCGATCACACCAGATTCACTAGACACCATTCGATTGACACATATGACGGATTTCATACAACTTGAAACTCTGCTTGAATTTGCATGAACCGCGACACACTCCCGTCTTCGAGATTAATATCACCTGTCTGTCGCGACGGATCCAGATATTTAACAACCGAGCCAGGAGCAACCGAGAGATTCGTCAAATCCGTACTTCTCTCGGAAACACCAGGAGTTTCGCGAGAGCGGTTTCCAGCGAGCGGAACATCCACCCGACGGACAGAATCTCGCGGATCCACTCGTGGTCACACGTGCTCCACCGGTTCGTCACTGTCAGCTACCTACCCGGCTGAAACACTGAAATAAACACTGGAAAAGCACGATACACGAACGTTGCGGCGACGAAGAGCACAAACAGCTGGATCCACTGTCGCGTCGTTGGAACGCGCTTCCCTCGTTGAAAGGATCCTGCTGGATCAAGATCACGCCGTAGAACGACGTGAAAACGAATCGAGTCCGCAAACGTACCCCTTTGTACGCGTGCGTGGTCGTGTCGCTTGTTGTGTTTACGGACGGCGGTTGTGTTGGTTGGTCGGCGCGAGAAACGTAAGCGTGTCTTTGACACGAGGATCGCGGCGACGGACAGAAGCAAGTTAGGGGAACGTGAGAGTGTATATGTGTATGTGTGTGTGCGTGCGTGTGAGAGAGAGGGAATGAGAGAGAAAGAGAGAGGCAAGAAAAAAAGAAGAGAACGAACCGTAGAACTTAGAACGCGGTGGCGAGAGAGAAGGATGCTGCCTAGTGGCCTAGTGCGTAGCGAGGCTATGGATTTGGTGGAGCGCTGTGACCTGCACGTAGGTAGGCCAGCGTGGAGACAAGAACCGTGTATCGCAATGTATCGCGGTGGTGGCGACGACGGCGGCGGCAGCGGCGGCGGTGGTAACTGGAGGGGTGGCCCGTCAGGCTGGAGGGGCGTGTGGGTGGTAGGTGGAGGGAGCCTGGTTCGTTCCTTCGTTCCCTCGAGGTGGTGGAAGAGAGGGTAGATCGGACGTTTGGGAGACCGAGGGCGCGCAAAGCGCCCTGGCTCCGGCCTTGGAAACGGCTGTTCGTGCTACTGCTCTCCGGTATTGTTTCACCTGCACCCGCTTTTTAATTATCATTCTTCTCTCACTCCCCTCCTCCCATATTTTTTTCTCCTCCGTGTTGTTCCCTTCTGATTTTCGCCGCGACAAATTTGCTGGGAATTATCGAGCAATCTATTGTTCGTTAATGGGAGGATTCGATGCGTTCCGATTAACACTCTCTCGGCGGGAATTTTGTTACCCGCAAGCATGATTTACAATCTCTCAAGTGGGTGTGGATATTGTGAAAAATATTATTTGTACGTATATTTCTTAGCACTCGAGTACCGGATATATTATACGTATTATACGTAAAATATTTTAATTTCATTAATACGACTATTAAAGTTATGTCACTTAGGCTTGAAATAAATCTGAACATATATGTAGAAATCAGAAGATATTTAATACAATTATATACTTCATAGACATAAATATTCGGTGGCAACACTTATATGTATTTGAATGATAATTCATGCCGTATACTGATCTTTAACTAAATACATGTTTGCAACAAATGTTTTGTAATTTGTACATAAATATTTAGAACACTATACAGTGTAAAAAATTATTAGAATTATTACATAAGTCTCAAAAGATAATCACACTTTTAATATTTAACAGATACTTTTCTTTTATATTCGTTATTCTAATACATATAAATCTATACACGTGAAAGTGAATATCTATTTTTCCTTGAATAAAGTTTTTACTGAAAAAAAAAATTAGTATATACAGTCTTATTGAGTGTTTGTGTCTTCGTGTAATTAATGACTTTCGAATAAAAGTTGGCAAATACACTCGTACCTATTTTCCTTATAATTCAGTTTTATGTGGGGCTTTACTGTGTCAGTAAAATTTGTATGCAGTTAGGAATGTATGGAATAAATATGCTAGATATTTGAAATTCAGTTCATGTGTTTAAACTAAAATAAAGTGGCAGCTTTTGTTCGAATGGGGAGATTCTCTTGTCATGCTGCTCACAACAAATGTTACTGCTATTTCTTTATTTGCTGCGAAATTACATAACTTCGAGTTACATTCAGATTTCCAGCAACGCTTCTCCATCGTGTCAAGTCTATCGATATACTTACGTAATACATCGTAACTCATTCATGTTTTATAAAGTTTCCCCTACATATGCAACAATGAGATTTATATACAATGTCATTTGCAGTAAAATATACACGGTATACATTCAACGCTGGCAAAGAAAAATGAGTGTCATGTTATGTTCAATATTCTTTACTATCAGTTGGCAACTATGTCTATCAAGATACTTTGATACTTCGTTCGTACTTTCGAAAATTTTTTTTAGATAACAAATAATACAAAATATATTTGTCATATATTTAGTATTACCATAGTTCCATTTAATTTTATTCCTTTCATTTTATATTTATATTTAATGAATACAATAAAATATGAATTCGTACTTTAATTAAAAGGCTGATAAAGTGGACTCTGCTTTGTTATTTCATATAAAAACCACCAGTTTTTTAATTACTGAAAGTTTGTCCAAAATTCCTATATTAATTAATATTACTTTAATTGCAATTGATTTCTAAATGTTTGCAAAGTATAATCTATTTTTATACATCTTGTAATAGATACATGTCATGCATTTTACACTTGTGAATGTCTTCTGAAGATATAAAAGTTCCAAAGGCATAATATCAGTTAATCAATTAATTCGTTTATTGATTAGAACAATTTTAATTACAATCAATTTCCAAATATTTTCTTTATCTATCTTACTCGAGAGAAGATAAATTTCAATTTTATTTATTTCAAGATCGTGGCATCAAACTTCCTGGCACTGGCGAAATGTACAGTGGAAATTTGCTAAAAAAATTTGCTATGCCTCACGGACGCGGGAAATGAAAAAGAGAAAAAGGGCAAGGATCTCTTTTGCTCTTCGACGGAGCAAATTAATTTGTTCTTCCCCGTCTTCGTTAGTTGACTACGAGGCGGGAATAGCCAAAGACCTGCGGTTAGCGAGGCATCGATCGCCACCCGTCATTTTTGTCCACTTTGTCACGTGTGTTAATTAAAAATTGCTCGCGGTCATTGTCGTGGAAGAAATCACACACGTCCCTGTAATTAAATCCTCGATGAATTCTCGTCAATCGACCATCAAACAATCATCGACGCCCGACCACTCGCCAGCACGCGTACACACCCTGTGATTTGAACATTTCGTGTTTTCAATCGCATCGCTAGAGCGGTAGGAATTTATTAATTATGCATCAATTCGGTCATTGTTAAATTGGTGCTTTCAGCAATTGACTTCTATTAATAATGATATACGTTAGGCTGAAATAGAATTTCGTCCCGATTTTATTTCTACCTCGGCGTTTAACAAAATGTTAAGTTACGATAGATATTCTATTATAAGCAATATAATATGTAGAAAATACAATAGAGTGAAAGACATCACGTGTTTTTGATTACTTTTAATCAATCGTGGACGAATTTTAGAATTCTTTATCAATTAAAATTTATTTTAATTTTATAAAATTTATTAAATTATATAAATAATTAAATTATATTAAATTATATAAGTAAGCTTCAAATGAAAGCTTAAGCTTTTTTAATAAACTATGCTTGACTTCAATTAAGCGAGTTTTGTTATTTTATATTTCATTGTATTCGATTATGTTTATCGATTCACCATTAAGTTTCTTTAAAACGACTATATATATATCATTCGTTACAACTTAAAGTTTTAAAACTGTTGCACTACTGAGAATCACTACAATTTTAGTTATAATTTCTTTCAGATCATTCAATTAGAATTTTAAAATCAGCACACGAATAGAATTCAAATTTTTGTACATATATAAACAGGAATTGTTATATTAGTATAATAGGTTCGTTTAAACTGCAAATTCTATTGGGATTTAAAATCGACAAAATTTTTTTGTTTCAGCAGCTTTCATCCTTTTTTGAAAATTGTATTGAATATTTTAAAAGATCCAAATTAAACCAGCAATACAATTAATGATTATACTAATCTATAATATATTATAACATATTATCTATCATATCTTATAGTCATATAGTACCTTATAATGATTAATTGAATTAAGACATTTAACAATGTAATTCACACTGCACAAAATAGAAGTTGTTACATACAATATTATATTGTTTAATGTAAATGTTGTTATTTAACGTGAATTTCTAAATTACACAATTTTCTATATATCATATATCATCTATCATCTATCTTATAATATAATCTTATAATATAATACCGTATATCATATACCTTATAATATATCTTATAATATAATACCGTATATCATATACCTTATAATATAATACCTTATATCATATATCTTATAATAATATAATACCTTATAATGATTAATTGAATTAAGACATTTAACAATGTGATTCACACTGCACAAAATAGAAGTTGTTACATGCAATAATATATTGTTTAATGTAAATGTTGTTATTTAGCGTGAATTTCTAAATTACATAATTTTCTATCTATCGTATATCATCTGTCATCTATCTTATAATATAATCATATATCTTATAATATAATATCGTATATCATATATCTTATAATATAATACCTTATATCATATATCTTATAATAATATAATACCTTATAATGATTAATTGAATTAAGACATTTAACAATGTGATTCACACTGCACAAAATAGAAGTTGTTACATGCAATAATATATTGTTTAATGTAAATGTTGTTATTTAGCGTGAATTTCTAAATTACATAATTTTCTATCATCTGTCATCTATCTTATAATATAATCATATATCTTATAATATAATATCGTATATCATATATCTTATAATATAATACCTTATATCATATATCTTATAATAATATAATACCTTATAATGATTAATTGAATTAAGACATTTAACAATGTGATTCACAAAATAGAAGTTGTTACATGCAATATTATATTGTTTAATATAAATGTTGTTATTTAGCGTGAATTTCTAAATTACACAATTTTCTATATATCATATATCTTACAATAATATAATACCTTATAATGATTAATTGAATTAAGACATTTAAGAATGTGATTCATACTGCACAAAATAGAAGCTGTTACATGCAATAATATATTGTTTAATGTAAATGTTGTTATTTAACGTGAATTTCTAAATTACACAATTTTCACGTCATTCATAAACCAAGAATTTCTCTCCTCGTATCTGTAAATGCTTTACCATCACAACGACACGCTTTACACATTGAAACTAGCGACTCATAATGCTCCACAATCCTGCGTCAATCTTCAACATTTAACACACCAAACTACATTAATGTTCAAAACACATATTCAGACACTTTAGACGATTTCAGTAGGAACTGTACCTAAACGTTTCAGTAATAACATATTAATGGCCTGAACCTTATAGAATTATCGAATTACATAATCAATGCCTCGTGGAATTCTGCAATTACAGATTTACTGTAGAAATTCATTTATATAAACTTGTCGAAGGATGATTAGGAATATAATATTAATTGTAAGAAATAGCAGATAGTTAGATCTATATTTTCTAGTTATCTATATTTTTATAAATTGAAGGACCGAAATTTTTAGTGATTTGTTCTGTTTATGAAATATTAGATTATTCTGTAAATAATGTAATCTTATAAATATCACGAAGTTTTAATATTTATTTGCTTCCTCCTAAAGTTGTACTAAAAATGTCATCATCTTCGTATTTTTTTATTTTTTTGAAAGAAGTTAATATTTCGATATACTATCATGTATGTTATATTTATTTTCATCACCTTGGAACTTCTACAGTCTAATAACGAAAAATAGAATTTCTGTGAAATCTTAATTAGATGATATGTTAAAATACCCTGAATTCTCGTCGTTTGACGAGAATTCAAGTTTAATGAAACAATTAAAAAAAAAGGAGATTTCAATTTTCAAAACCACAGATTCAGCCACGAAAAAAATTTTCTAACATTATCAGAAACGTCTGAAGTATCCTTATTTTCCCACGAGCTAAAATAATTAAAAATAATTAAAAGGAAGGGAAAAAAAGGAAGAAAAAAATAATTTTTATCACACAATGGTTATATTTGTTCTTCTGTGCCACAACTGCCTAAAATTAAATAAACACTGAAACAGTGTGCGTCGTGTATGGATGGAAAGCATCGATCAGGCAGAGAAGATGAAATCGGCGTGATATTTAGCCTTGGCGTTCCGACGAGTTGTCGATACTTCCCACAGGACGTAACTGCAAAAGCACGACAGGCAGGGCCCGCACTTTGCGTCCGGTAAATTTCGTATTTTCACGGCTAATGACTGAGGAACGAGACGGTAATGTATTCTATGCGGAACATCTACTATGCGCTTCCCATTAGCATTTGTAATGCGCACCTACCCCTAACCCTGGCCCGCGAGCGTTGACGCTCCGCGCAAACCCATCAGCGGTGCCATTTATAGCGGCTGTGTTCCGTGTTCACCGTGGCCAGAGAAAAGAGTTTTACTACTCGTTGCTGCGGGGATATGTTAATAGGACGTAGCGGGCACGCGTTACACCGCGAGCAGTTCGAGGATCACGGCTTCGCATCGCTTTCTCGCCATGGTATTTTTCGCCGGTTGCCCACTGAAAGGCAAACCCCCGTGGAAAATACGACGCGCCATTAAGATACCTTTCACACGTCACTCGAACGACGCGCGTCGTTACCGTCGCTTGTCGCTGCGCTCTGCACTTTCGTCTCTGCCACGTCTCAAATTCGGTAATGATTCTTATTTAGTCCTATTGAGACGGCAGGCACGATTAGCGACTAGCGATTGTCACTTCATGGGGCTCTGTTCATTGGCGTATTGACATTTTTGGATAGGCTCGACGGATTATTTTCG